GGAAAGAGTCAAGAATTTTGTAGCTTGAGTTTTCTGTTTTCTAGTCTAAGAAAAGGCAGTGGAGGTAACAACTGATATTTAGTAACACCAGATGTCTCTATGGCAAGTGACAAATTTTTTGGCCAAAAAGTGAGTATTTATTATACTTCACAGTTATGTTCACTAGGTAAATTAAAAAGAAAATTCAGAAACATAAATTAAAACAAAAACTGTAGAAGGAGCTTAATGTTAGTTACTCTTGCTGCATAAAAGCATATAAAATAAAATTTCTGCAAAATTCTAGACTTTGCAGGTTAAGAAGTGTTTTGTTAGAAATGCAGTCATTCTAAATGGTCATTAAGATGAACTACAGATATTTCTACATTAATATTTTGGCTTCAAAGAACTCTCTCAGCAGGATGAAACCTGTTTTCAAAACCAAGTGTGGTTTGGGTTTTTTTTAATTAATAAAATAAAACTTTGAATTTTATATGACAAATGTAACATTGAACTGTGCTTGCTTTCCAGTGATTGCTTTTGCTCGTACTAACTCTGGATACACTTGACTTTTCAGTGCTGGCTAGTAACTCTTCATGGTTAATGGTGCCTTTCATCTGGTGTGATATACAAGGTTTAGTTTTTCTGTTTCATGCGTTCTGAAGGTACACTTTGTATTATCAGTCATGAAATTCAACCTCTCGAAGTCTTACAGTGACATTTCCTGTTTTGAGGAAGAAAAATTGTTGTTTATGGGGTTTCTTCTAAAATTAGATCTAAGTTTCTTACTTTGTAGTTTATATGGCAAGTGATTTCACATATTCTGCTATAAGATAATAATATAATGGATAATCTATTCATGACTAAAATTCAGGCTTGCTTCAAATTGACTAGAAAAAAAATACCCAGTTTATTTCGTTATACATTGCGTCATTCAAAATAAATTACTTTTTTTTTTATTCTTAGAAATGGATGATGAGGACTGCGAAAGAAGAAGAATGGAGTGTTTAGATGAAATGTCCAATCTTGAAAAGCAATTTACAGACCTTAAAGATCAGTAAGTATTTTCATGTTTTAAGTGCCTTGTTTGAGGATCCATTCTATGAGACTGTTTTGAGCAGTCGCTGTTTTTGTCTTTCATATATGTGGGTGCTACTTTTGGAGAAGGATAAGGATTGGGAGTCATGCAATTATCTGCAGGCAGTTGCTCCAGAATACTTTTATGTATGTATGTGCGTATTTTCTGTTTTGCTGTAAGAATGGCTTTGAAGTGTTGTTGCTGGATTGGATACCTGACAAGTGAAACTTTGAGGAGACCTTGTCTATTCTTGGGCATATATTTTAATTGGAAATCTAGTCAGTTGTCATTACATTTCAGATGCATGTTTATATTGTGAGATAGCTCTGTAGTAGAAAGAACCGAGACATACAACTTACTTTGCCTAACAGGACACTGTGAGGTCTATCTAATAGGGTCTGGAATGAATTGCCCAAGAAGCAATTCCTTGCTGCAGTATCTAGAGACAACTGTTTGTCCCGCTGTTCTTCTTTGGGCTGAGGATGGAGCAACCTGGGAGATGGAGCCAACTGATGAGTATTGGAGCCAGTCGGTACTGACTGATTTGGCATTTGGAAACCTGCCAGTTTTTGAGTTCAGTCCTACTCTTCCATCTGTTAGACAGCTTGGATGACTGAAAACAGCTTGTGGAAACAAACCTTGGGAGGAGGAAACAAGTATTTCAGGGAGTTTTGGAAATGTGAATGGTGTTTGGGAGGTGGTAAGGCTGTGGAATATGAGGAGGAGGGCATTGTGTAGACACTGGTTAGTTGAAAGATTGGGGTGGGAATACTGGGAAAGGAGCATTAGGATGCTGGAAGAAGGATTATAGGGAGGAACAGCTGTGAGTAGGGAGGTGATAAAAGTTGGGAAAGAAAAAAAAGATGCATAAACAATGGGATGTTTAGTCATAACCAGTAGCAGAGATGATGAAGTGATTGCATCTGCCTCCTCTTCCTTTTCAGGGAAACTGAATTTGGATGCTGTGAGATAAGTAGGATTTACAGTGGTTGATAGCAGTTATCCATTTTAGGCAAATCACTATTTAAAAGTACTGGATAAATAGTTTTAGTCCATCAACTGCTGCATGGTACTGAGTGCAGGCAGCACCCAGTCCGTAACTGCTTGCTGTGATGTAGCTGGAACTTGGTGTTGTGTAATGAAACGTTAGTGACCGACCTAGTCATGTACACTGTGCACCCATGCTTATCTTCTAGTTAAGTAATTCTGCTGTAGCTCTATGTTAACCATCATGTGCGTAGCGTGCTCATCAAGGATTGAGCCCAGCAGATTGGGTTTTGATCAGCTGCAGGCCATGTCAGTTGACTGCAGGACAGATTGCATGTATCATACTCTTAACAGTGTGCAGGTAAGAAGGATGGGAGTGATCACTGACTATTGCTAGATTAGCTACACATGCTTGAGCTATGGAGTTGTGGTCAAAGTAAAATGATGAGCAGGCTGGTGGCAGGTGAACAGGAAGTATTTCTCAAGGAGGTCTTGATGTATCAGTATACATGAACTTTCTCCTGTCTAATTCATTACTTAACCTATGTGCTTTAAACAAAAATGTCCGAAAGACATCTGTTCTATCTATGTAAACAGATAACATCTGATGTGTTCTTAACACATAGAACAGCATTTGTACATGTTTGCCTTAATTCTACAGCCTTTGGTTGTGGGGTGCAACGTAAAAAATGAGAATAGGAAAAGCCGATTATATTGATGATTCTACCATTGAACACTATATTTAAGTTGTCAGTTACAAAGTGTGGAGCTTTATTGTGATTGAAATACTTGTAATTGATATTACATTAAATTCTTCAAAATGCAAGCAGGTTTCTTGATTGTCTGCCAGTAAATATCAACTTTTACAGAAGGAGTTTTAGGTAAAATAAAAATATTTTAAATACACTTCCTTTTGGCAGGAGTGGAAGATGTCAGTTACAATTTATCACACAAATATTAGTGATATTTGTGATAGTATGCAATATGTAGATTTTCACAGGAGATGAAATGAGGCTTGCTTCAATAGGATCCTGCCTCTCTTTTTTTTCCTTGGTTTACAGTAGCTTGGGAGCAGATATGCGAATGCAAAAGTGAATGGGTGTTTCTATCCACAAAATGTGTATCTTTCTCTCCCATTATGTAAACCATATTGTTCTTATGTATTGTAGCACCCTTTCCTGTTGTTTTCCATGTTGATTCACCTCCTAGTCCATCTTAATCCTATTAACAGCTATGTGATTTATTTTTTTTTTCCCCCTTCCTTAGAGTTGGAGATAAATTTCATTTTATCTTTACTTTCTACACTTCTGATTGTCTGCATGTGTTTTCCAGAAAGGCTTAACAGACATGAGGAATATTGTTCAAAAAGAAAATATGTATTGGAAAATTCAAATGGTAACAAATCTTAACTTTGCTTCAGCAGGTGTTCCATAACATTAACAAAGAGTTGTGGATTAGTTATTTTAAAAATATTTCTTCTAACTTGTATTTGCTTTTAAATAAAATACATATTTTTTTTATTTCTATTATTTTAAGACTTTACAAAGAACGATTAAGCCAAGTGGATGCAAAACTACAAGAAGTCATAGCTGGAAAAGCACCTGAATATTTAGAACCATTGGCAGCTTTACAAGAAAATATGCAAATCCGAACCAAGGTTGCAGGTAGGCATGTAAAATGAATATTGCTGTTTCAACAGTATAAACTTGCTATGCACTTTAAGGTCAATCTTCTTCTGTCTTTAAAAACACACTCATTCAACAATTATAAATTTAGAAATACTGTGGCATAGTTTTAAATGTAAAATATTTTTCAAGTCAAAATGAATAGGTTGCTTACCTCTTTGCACAAGTTGCCTGATAACATCACACTAAAAATATGGCTTTTCTTATGTTGCATTTAATGGCTGTCTGTCTTTGTGTAGTAAGCACAAAATTACTAAATTAAAAACAGTAATAACTTTTCGTAGTCAGAAGACGTGGGATCAAGTCTGCATACTGGTCACTGTTGAAATGAAGATATATGCAGGTGCTCTCTCACGAACTGCTTGCCAGATCATCTTAGATGATCATGTTTTTCCTGCTCTTCGAGTCTGTGTCTCTTCTACTCCTCTGCTCCCATTCTCCTGTTCCATCTGGGGAAGGAGGAAAACTCTTGTCCTTAGTGGCTTTTATCTAAGCTGCATTTTAATTATTAAAACTAATGTTTAGATAGGCTTTTATGCTCATAGAAGAAGCAGGCAAGAACTTTTATCTTCTTCCGGGATACGGCCATATAGTTATATGGAATGGTGGTTTTATAGGAAGACAAAGTTCTATACTTCCCTATTGTAAATTCTTTTCATGTTATAGCTCTACTCCTTTAGGAATAATTCAGCTGTCTAAGCGTTACACAGACTGTCATGAGAGCCAAAAGGCAGACAGTCATGATTCCTCTAGCCAGGGAAGCTATGCTAGTGTCTTTTCTAAGAAATTTAGCAGAAGCACAGTGCAGGCAAACTGGAAAATGGCAAGCCTGCTAATACTTGTTGTAATACTAGTGCTACTTCAGTGCTACTCAATATGTCTTCATTGGTACTTTTGACTTCAGGCTATGAAGAGACTTTGAAATCTTTTTGTCTGTTGTATTTCTCTCCCTCCTAGTCTTCTCCATAATGCTTTCCCTCAGCTGGTGACCCAGAATTTCTGGGTTTTAAGATCTTAACCCAAATTTACTTGACTAGTCCTAAGTAGCCTGCTTGGGCTTTGCAGAAGGTTTGCGGGTGAACTTGCAGAAAGTTTGATATAAAAGCAACCTTAATCCAGGCTTTTGATTTTCAGTTTTAAATGTGACTGTCTGTCAACGCTTTCATGTAGGTGGGTATGGATAGGCAAATATTACCGATTCTCCTGATCTGTCTTCAGCAGCACTGAAGATCCAAGTTGCAATGTAAAAAGAGCCCAGGGTGAAAACTACAAAGTTTCCTTGAAATTGAGACCAGAAATCAAGATTGTTTGTGTGTTTGTTTTTTTTTTTCCTTTTGTCCTCAACTGAAAGAGATTTGATAAAATTATTCCAGAGAAAGCAAGAAACTGCAGAACAGGCTTATTTGCTCTTACTATTTGAGAACCTTGACAGAAGTGGGTAGTAGCAGGACTTGAGCTCCAGCAGGTGACCTCTAAGGACCTCTTTCTGGTAGAAAGTGGAGAGGAAGTGGTGGGAGCAAAAAAAAAGAGGCTAAACTATGTTTAGCTAAACTATGGATATAGTTGCATTTGTGGTAGAAAAGAAGCTTATGTTTGTCTGTTCTCTAAGGCACTGAGCACTAATCAGAAAATGTGGATCTTGACTATTTCAGCAAGTCAAGAATACAACTGATTCTTCTAGAAGTATTCATAGCTATACTACTCAATTTCAGGCAAATAAGCAGTGATTATAAATTGGTAGACATAGATATGTCAGTCAGCCATAAATATTTAAAAAAAAAAAAAAAAAGCCAGCATAACATACTGATGTAAGAAAAGAACATTTTGAATTCTAGATCAAAAGTGACTTCAGAGCAGAAAGATGATTGACATAATACTTTGCAGTTTGTTTTTCAGAGGAATTTCCAGTAACAGTATTGTTCCTCTTGTACTGTATTAATTTATAGTCAACTGAATTCTAAGGGAAGTTGGTTTTGAGAGTTCTTCAGTTGCTAGACAGCACCAGCGTGTGTGCAAACTTAACTCCTCAAGATGGTAAACTTGACCAATTCAAGTATTTTGTGTTGAATCAATTGAGTATATTAAATCAAGTTCTATCTATACTTGTCAGATATTACATTTCAGATACCTTTCAGATTTTTTCAGCTATCTGTTTAGTATACGCATTTTCAGAAATGTGTAAGAAATGCTCCAAATACTCAGAAGCAGTATCCTTTGTATCACAAGGTGGCTATTTCTAAGAATGGAACAGAGTCTTGCTAATTGATATGATTTATTAAGGTCATGCATTGTAAAGTAAGCCTTATTCCAAATATTAATTTGTAAAAGCTTGTTCTTTCATTCAGTTTTCTAGCTATTTAAAAACCCCAAACCATTATTTAAAACTCTAATTAGAAAAGAGAAGAGGCCATTTAGTACTTCATGGATTTGAAAACTGAGGATGTCCAGGATAATTTGATCAGAAACATGAAATAAACCTATTTTGTAAAGTTATCATGACCACTGGTGTAATTTGTTGACTGATAAGGGAAAAAGTTAAAATACCATTTACTTTTCCTCAGATCTTCAGAAATAAGGAATTACTTGTTCTTATTGTTACTCTGTAAAGCAGCCAGCCACTCTTAAGTGCCTAATGTATCTGTGTTTTCCAGTATGTACATGTTTTGGGACTTGCAGGCAGTCTTAAAAGAGAATTCTGAAATAAAATATTAGCTAAAGAAAGTAATATTGCTGTAATTTGTCTGATTACAGGTATCTATAGAGAGCTTTGTCTGGAATCTGTGAAGAACAAGTATGAATGTGAAATTCAAGCCTCTCGACAGCACTGTGAGGTTGTGCCAGCTATTTTACATTGATAGCTAATCTCATCTAACTTTACTGTGTGTCATGCTTTCCAAGTTCAGCGCATGTTTTTATTATTGCTGTTATTTGCTATTTGAATGCAATTGCCTTGTGATATTTAAGCCCATGGAAGAGGTTATATAAAGCATATAAAATTAGCTTTATATTAGTTTGGCTTTGCCTATAAGTATAGCTAAGGTTTCATATTTTTCATTAACAGGCTCTTATTAATAGATTCCCACATGAAATTTTTTTTTTTACCTTTGTTATAAAAAGATTACCACGAACAGTAACTAAAATGTCTGACATAATTTTAGCAAAAAGGACCTTACGTTTTAATAGCAACAACAACAATAATAATAATAATGTCTTTTTAAGATGCCTTGGACAGCTAGTTGATAGAGTTGTCATTTCAAAAGCAGTTACAGGAAAAATATATTTCTCTCCTTGAATATAAACATTCCTGTTTAAGCATCTAAATACTGGATACCATAGTACAAATACTCAAGTACATGTACGTCCAGTGCTGTAACATAGCTGCTTAGAGCCTGAGATTTGCATTGTTGTACTCCTCAGGCCGCCATTACAGTTGCTTAAATGTGTTTTGTTCTGAGTGGTTCACCATGTTCGTGAAGTCCATGGCTCCTCCTATACCAATAACACAAGAATGTGCGTGTGCACATTTAAAAAAATTCCCATTTTCTCGATGCCTTGGGAAAGAACAAGATATACTGACTATCCTTGCTCCTATGAATACTCCTGAGGCTGGACAGAATCCTGTAAGACTTGCAACATTTCTCATACATGACTGAATTATTTGCTTTGGCTATATATTATTCCTCTTTAAGGTGGTCTTTGTCCCTTGTTTTGCTATTATGGTTCTACTCTGAAACCTTCAAAATTCAAATATTTGCCATCCAATAAAGGTCTCTTGGGGGAAAAGCTCTTTAAAGTCAGCAGCGCTGCTTGTAGAATCACTGTTCCACTGGAATATAACCATTCAGCACCTCTGATGCCTCTAACAGCTTGTCTCACCTTATTTGTCACCAAGTACTTGAAGCAAAACAGAGGTCTAAACACAAACACTATTTCATTTTAAAATGGATTTTTAAAATGGTCCCAGAACAGACAACACTAATTTGGCATTTCAGGTATTATGTAAGAGGCTTCTGCCTTTTCAATTCCACTGGGAAATTCTTTTTATAATTAGGGATTTAAAAAGATATGAAAGGAGGTCTTTGGAATTTAAATACTCTGTAACTTGAAGGGAACGGTAAACATGACAGCCATTTAGTAGAACAGGGTTCTTTGTTTTTGTCTGTTCCTCAACTGTTTTGCTTCACTCCAGCATACTAGCTTGAACATCAGTAAAGGTAAGTTTCTGTTAGTATGCTGTGTTATGGGCAGGAGCAGTTGAGGTGCAGGCATATGCTGACTTGGCTCTTGGGACTGCAGCTTCTGGCAGAGACATGGTAGCAAATAGCTAGATGCAGTGACTTGTGCTGCGTATGCTGTTTTTCAGTGAGTAAGTCCAAGCCTTCTGTTTTCCGGAGTTGTTAAAGATGTTGCTCAGTGAAAATTAATTTTAAAATGTAACAATCAGCTGTATTTCCTGCTCGTGTTTTAGGAAATGTGCAAGCTTATGAAAGAACAGTAAATTTATTTCCTTGAGGCTTGGAACTCAGCTTAATTCCAAGTTACTGGTTTAGTGAGTTTAGTGGTTTTCAATGCTGCCTTTAAAAGGGTAACTGATCCATATAGAAATTGTGTAATTTTGGTATCAGTCCTATGTGGTGGGCTATAATTGAGAGCAGTTTACTACAAAGTTGATTTTCTCATTCTGAAACACTTAGAGATGGAAAAGAATATAGACTGCACAAAACGCTTAGAAAGTTCACATCAGAACATGGTTTTGTTTGTATATAAAAAGTGCTAATGATACACCTAACATTGAAGGCATTACGTTACTCTATTTGGATCAGAAATTGCCTTTTAAAAGGATGAACTAGCTAACTTTTCTAAAGCAGTGCTTTAAAAGTGTTTCTCACAGCTTTAAGGTAGACAATTTTGCTTTCACAATTGTCTAGATTATTTTATGTGCTCAATAAATTCTTTATTCTGTGGGAAGGTATTTTTCAGATCTATGAAAACAGATGGTTGTAAATACTGTGGTAATAGATGCTAATTCTCTATAAATGACTTAGGTTTATTAATATTGGAGGCAGCTTAATAAAAAGCTTTCCATGAAAACATTAGCTTTTCTGATTTGTAATAAAAGATGGCATAGAGATCACTACTGTTATTCATTGTGAATAAATCTTTGCTATCCAAAAGGAAAATACTGTATTTGTGTCAAAATACGAACAGTTATTCTGGAGCTCTAGCTGCATGCTTTTATATACTTAGTTATTCTTGGTACTGATATTTGGTAATTGTATTTACGCAATGCCAAGCGAGCGTGCTGTCTTTAAGGGGCTAGGATCTCATGCTAAGAAAGTGGATAAAGGGAAATGTTATGTGCTTTATGGCTTCTGAAAAATTTTTACCTCAAGCTACTCTTACCTTTCTTCCACTGAGGCTTTAAATTGTTGTCATATATATTTAGATGTTAGAACTTAGTAATTTAAAAATGTGTAATTTCTTGCTTTTATAGAGTGAAAAGCTTCTGTTGTATGATACTGTACAAAGCGAACTTGAAGAGAAGATTAGAAGACTTGAAGAAGACAGGCATAGCATTGACATTACCTCAGGTGGATGGAAATTCAAAGTTGGGGTGGTTTGTTTTTTTTTTTGGTTGATTGGTTTTGTTTGATTTTTTTAAAAAATCTGGTATTTACTGATTAGTTGATTGTACACGTAGTATGTCGCGTGAGTTTCAGGTTGCCCAGTAGACTTTGGGCGGGGGATTGAATTTAAGCTTAAAACAAACTTCAGTCTAGTAGTTGTCAGTGTAACTTGTGTGTTTTGAGAGTATTAATCTATGACTACATAACCATGTAACACCTTCATTCTGTTCAGAAACAGCATCTCACCAAAAATGTGTTATTTTTCATTTTTTGGACAATGTTTTCTGCTGTAAAAAGAGCTAAACATGTAAAAGTTTCTGATTCGTAGCATGTTCTTACTGTGTCTTTTCAGAATTATGGAATGATGAGCTACAGTCCAGGAAGAAAAGGAAGGATCCATTTAGTCCAGATAAGAAGAAACCTGTTGTTGTATCAGATATCCTTTTACTGAAAACATTGTTCTTTCTAGTTGTGTTTATTGTTTTATAGCTAGTCTTATTACATGTGCCTTTAATAACAAGTTGAAGTGATAATGTTTTCTCAAAATTGATTTTTGCATGGCAGATGTTACTCTAATGCAGACTAGAGAAACCATGTTGACACATCCCATTATGAAAATTGAAATTAAGATTCTCTTATCTAACTGCTAGTTTCATATAGAGAATATTTCTAAAAGTTGATTTTTCTAACTCTTCAAAAAACAGAGCTACAAGGCAAAAGCAGAAAAAAGTTAGGCATTGTGTTTGCATAGTATAACTTGACTTGTATAACTTCTCCTGTATAGCTTTGCTTCTCATACTGGGACGTCTTTACCTGAATTTATTACTTCTTAACAATTCCATAGACTTTAGAATTCTCTTTGATTAAAAGTTTAAAATCCCAAGAATTGAGATGGTTGAAGGGGGTGGTGTTTGTGGGTTTGGGGTTCTGGTAGAGTGAGTATAGTATTTAAGAATTTTGCATTGATGATTTCTTCATAGCTGTTGACAGTCATGCAGTGCAGCTGAAACTTTTTAAGGTGTAACACCTGAGGGAATGTATCATCTTCCTCCAGAGAAAGAAGGCAATGCCTTTGCAAACTGAGTGCTCTCTCTACTTCTACTCCCAGCCTAACATTTTCATAGGATAGAGATGTGATGGCTTAGAAGTTGCCAAAATTGTGGAGGCTACCTAAAAGAATGCAGCTTCTAATTATTGACATTATATGGTATAAAGACAATTTTTTATTGCTGAGCTGCTGCAAAAAATCCTGCTACTTTCACAAGGTTTTGTATCATTAGCAGAAGGTGGGAAGGAGGACAGTTTCTGAAAACACTGTCATCATTGGGACACGCTCCTTCAGGATGCTTGATGTACTGGAACACATCTCAGATGGTTAATTTGTCCTATTAATGACTGTTCTTCGATTAGGATGTGTCATAAATTCACTTTAGTAGAGGTGTTTTTTAACTAGTGCTTAAAAGCCAAGTGGTATTAATCAACGCAGATACAAGTGGCTTCATTACTTTCTTAACCCCTTTTAGCAATTTCAGTGCCAGATTATGTGAAGGTATATTTTCTTTAGCTCTCAGTCATCCTTGTCTTCAGGATGTCCATATAAATAGCATCAGATTCTGTGAATTATGAGCTACCTTGCCATTTTAGAATACATTCCAAACAGAAAATACTAACATAATACTAGATCTAAAACCCCAGCAATTTCAGGCAGTTCATAAGGCTGAGAATCCTTTCAGTTGTGAAGTAAATTAATTTGCTCTTTTGCTTGTGATTTTAAAATATTTTTGAACTTGTCAGTTTGTACAGATCTGTGTAAAGTAAATAGCTAGAAATTCTATAGGGCTTTTGATTTGTAATTATTTCCTATTTAAAGGAAAACAAATTTGAAAATGGCTAAAGATTCTTAAAATTTCAAATAGAATGTAAGTTAAAGCTCTCATATCCCATTTTAGGAGATTTAGTTTTTAAACATTCATAGCACCTTTTTCTAAACTTGTTTTTCAGAGATGAAACGGGGAGAAACAAAATAAAAACTAAAGGCTGTTGTAATGGAATAGCTGTGCTATATGGAGTTTTGTTTTGAAGTTCACATGTTCTAATACACAATTTTTACTTTATGCTTGATAGTTCAAGGAAGGGGCTTTGCCTTTTTACTTCTTTTTTTTTGGATATTTGATATTCAGAGATCTGATGCTGTCTACGCTTGTCTTTCAAAGAAATAGGATGCAGAATACTATAAAAAGAATGATTTTATTAAAGCTGATACTAGTGTAGATGCTAATTTGCAGTGGTATATTGAAATTGCACTGAATTGTAATTGTAATTTGTAGTATTGCAAATAGAATGATTTTTGGAACTGTTAGGGATGGAATGGTTGTATCACAATTGTTTATCTTTTCCTCATGTCGAACTCCAGTAGTCTGAGTATCTACATACTATTACTTATCTTTTAATGATTTTTAAAGTGTACTTCTAGGTTGCACAATTAAGATGCATTTATTTTGGCTGAGCTGTCACTTTGTGTAGGTATTCTTTGTGTGAAAGATTGGCAGAACAGAGCTGTTAATATCTTTCTACAAACATTAGAGTATTTTTATTATTGTTTTTTAAAAGAGTTTTCCCTAACTTTTCCACGTCCCTATATAGTTTATATGTTACAAGACCTTGATATACTTGAAGACTGGACAACAATAAGGAAAGTAAGATGAAAGGGTGAATGCCAGTGGCTGTGGGTTTTGCCTGGCTTCTTGTCTAGTCCTTTTACCTCTTGAAAATATGTAAACGTGTTTCTTACATGATCAAAACTCTAAATAGATTTTTATTTCTTCAGTAGTCGTTCCAATTCAAGCTATGTTATTGCTATTTTTTGATTCGTGCAGAGGAATCCAATAAAGTGGTGGAAGAGATTATCTCTAAAATGGGTAGTCCATAATTTTCCGTGATAAAGTGAGCCTAAAGCCTGTGTCAACAGGATCTGCTTTGTCATAGTTTCTACCCAATTATGCTAGACTATGATATGATAGTTTGATAGGGTTTTGTTTTAAATTAAGATTTTTAAAAAAATATTTATTGTATGATATGTTTTCACATAGGAAATATTTTATTTTCTGAAGATTTCCATGCTTTGACCTCTTCTTATACTTTTTTTTTTGTATAAAGTGAAACGCTGTGTTCTCCCCAGATTATAAGAGTATCAGGGTTTACAGGAAGAGATATTTGTTTGACTAGTTGATGTATATGAAAAAATAAATCCAGCTTTTAAGTCCCAAGTGCCTTTTTCAGACCTTTATCATCTAGTTAAAGTAACTTGCTGTAATGAAATGCTATCCTTGCCTTGCAGCTACAGTCAGAAAATTTCCCCTAGTACCCTAGTGCTTCCCGGCTTAAGGAATAGCAAACTGCTTGTGTGAATTCAAAAATATGGTGGGAAATGGCTTTGAGTCTGTTTCCATCCTGCTTTATACTTGTACGAATTTCCTAAACAAGAAGTAAAATGTGATGCCTATGCGAAAACTTGTCTGACTTTTCCCTTCCTATCACATCAGAGGAACAGACGCACAATAACTTTCCCTCTGTTTCTGTCCTATAGTGTAACGTGATTTTTAAACAATAGCAACTCAGAATCTGCTGGGGATTTTGCCTTTTTTGGAAATAATTTAGAAAACAAACAGCAAACTAACAACCCCCCAAAACTCTTAGAGGTTTTTTTAAACCTACTTTAATACTACATATGATCTAGAGTTTGCATGAGAGAATATTTGTGAGCTTATAACGTATAAATCAGAGTAGGTTGTTTGTATAACATTTTGTTTTTCAGAATGAGTTAATGTAATTTTGTATTTTCTTGACAGAATTATTTAACAGTAATTTTGACAGTTTAATTTAGAAAACCTCCTGAGTTATTTGAAATCAAAACTTACTAAAGAAGGTGATTTTTTTCACCCTCAAAATGCTGTTTTATTTAGTTACTGAGTCACCATTGAACACACTTTTATTTTAGATTTGTTCTGATTGTGGGTTTTGCATGTAAAAGCAAGTATCCTGAGCTACACTGCCCATAACTTCAGAATTAAAGCTGGCAGTTAAGAAAAAAAGACTGTGCTTATGACTAACTTAATTTTCTTTTGTGTTTCAAGGCAATGGCTACACTGGGGCCACACAGAGTAAAGCCAGAACGTAAGTAAACATTGGTTTCACAAGACAGAACTTGCTGTGTGCAACAATACAAACTGCATCTAGGCAGATCATATTTATTTTGGCCTTGGTATAGTGATGGAGGATGGGGTGAGGTAGCTGGAAGATGTGGCTTTTGTCTTTCCCCTCTTTCAGGTGCTGATACTTGTAGCTTAATTGCTGGTGATTGTGTTGACACCTGAATTCTAGAAAATTATCAAGAAAAATTTAGACTTCTGAAAGTGGGCTACACCAAATAATATTAGCAAGCTATGCCAGTGTTTACACAAGATGAAGCAGGAAACGGAGAGCATCTGGACCTTAGGGGTGGATTCTAAAGGATGCTCACGTTCACTGCAAGCTACAACCCTGAAAAAGTAGAGCTATGGTAAAGGAGTGGTAACTGATATTTGGCACTGGGGTGAGAAGCATGTTAATGCTACATAAAATCAAACACTTGGAGGTGGTGAGTAAGGAGGAAAAGGGAGAGGAGGCAAGCATGTGGTGTATTTCTTTAGCGATGTGTTACTACTTGCATGTTGTGGTAATGTGCTGATGAAGAGGTTTCAGGTTCTGCCATTTGAAGTCTTTTCTGTATTGCATTACTTGGTTTTTGAAAATTATCACAGGTATGAAGGTTATGGGGAAGATATATTTCCATTTTCAGACAGTAGCTAACTTGTAATTTATCTGACAGGAAATAAAAAAGGTACCTTGCTTCCAATTTTCATGCATTCTTGCAATTATTGAGAGGCTACTTTTGGTAATGGAAAAAATGTGTATTCTATGTAAATAACTTGATGAAAGTGTATTTAAACATCTAACTGACTTCTGCCAAGTCAATATTAAATTACTTTTATTGATCATTTTAGCACCTGTCAAATTAGAAAAGCATCTACATAGTGCTAGATCTGAAGAAGGAAGACTCTATTATGATGGAGAGTGGTACGGACGTGGACAGACAATATGCATTGATAAGAAAGATGAATGTCCTACAAGGTAAAGATTACTCAGTTTATGCAGCTCTGTACATTCAAGTTAAGCAATAGATAGGATGATGGCATTGAAGAATAAGGCTTATTTGGAAATAGTGCTACCTCAGTAACATTCCTTAGTTCACCTTGGAAGATGGGCATTATCAAAGAAGGTTCAGCACTGGACTTCTGAGAGAGGCTAGTAAAGGTTGGACTTCACTGTAGGTGATGTTTGTCAAGTTAGAAACTCACTAATGGTTTCAGCTCTTACTAGTTTCTGAGTAGCCTTTGACTAAGGTGGTTTTTTTTTTGGTGGGGTTTTGTTTTTTTTTTTTTTAATCTTGGGATTTTTGTTGCTTTGAGATCTTGATCTGTTGGCCTACCCAAAAATGCTTAAATATGGAAAAACACTTTATACCATTAAAGGTAAGCTTTGTTTTCAATTGATTAATGCTCTGAAAGAAAGGAGTTGGAACTTTTTTTACTGTATTTCCTTCTCTTAACAAAAGTTCTACCTGGGAACGGTCCAAATATCACAGTGCAAATTTGGTTGAATGTTTAAGATACCTAAATGTATTTTCAATGTATGAATAATATTTGTAAATTCTAAAAGGTTGGGTATATTTAAAGCAATATTTAAAATTAAATCTATATCTTGTCTTTTACTGAATGGGGTGAATCAATCTAAGTGCAGTGTTGATTAAATAAGCACAGCTACCCTGGAAAAATTAACTTCATATAGCAGTAGTTTACTTTAAAACTGTCTGTTTCTTTTCTTCCCTGTGTATGGTGAAAGGGAACAGATTTTGGTGAATTTGGTGTTTGTTCAGGGCTGAAACAGGAACGTATTTTAGTAAACTATATGTTAGTTCTGAAAATTAAAAAATTCTGAATTATTTTAGCAGAATATAGCAGTTATACTGGGCCAAAAAAAATCTTAGTATCCAGTGTCTGACAAAAGCCAAAAGCTGATGCTTACACAGGGCAACCATACAGTGGAACTTTCCAGCCTTTCAGGATTTCAGCAACTTTTAAGTTGAAGAGTTTCCTGGAGGGAGTTTTGTCTCACTCTGTGTGTAATAGGTCTTTCTTCCATTAACTATTTTAATCTCTGGTTTTGAGACTTTTTTGTCATCAATTCCACTTGAAATTTTTTTTTTTTTTCCTAGGAGGTATGGGGAGGGGGTTGTGTTGATTATTTGTGTTAAGGTTTAACACAAGCATAAAAGCAGGGTTCATTTAAGAATGATTCAGTAAATCTTATTTCTTATTTCTTATGGTTTTGGTATAATGGCTAACAGTTGAATACTTTTTCTGCTTTAGATCTTGGGCTTCAATCAATTTAACTTTTTTTCAAATACTTTGTATTTAAAGTAATTTCTGGGTGTGTTTTCCAATAGATCTGTCTTTTACCATGGGTAGTCTGTTGTTGTGTTTTCTATGGGTGACTGTTGTTCTTTTAAACAATTAAAATATTTGTACATGTTGAGGGTTTTCTCATAGGAGAAGAAAATAGATAGATGGCTGAAAAATTAACTACCTTCACTAAAGACACATGCAGTTACCAAAGAAATCTGTTAAAACTATCCTTACAATGGATTCGGTATCCTTTGGGCCTAGCATTTAAAACTAATGCATGTTTTCATTTACTGTACAGAAACACAACTGCAGTTTTGAGGTTATTTATTAGCTTGTAAGGTTTCTAAATTCTTGTCTTTCTTCCCCGACCCTTCTTCCCTCATTTTCTGTAGTGCCATAATTACAACAATTAACCATGATGAAGTTTGGTTTAAAAGACCAGATGGAAGCAAGTCCAAGCTGTATATTTCTCAGCTACAGAAAGGAAAATATTCAATAAAGCATAACCACAACTGACCGTTGCTAACCAGATGTAAAACAAGTGGTATTGCCATGTTTGATGTGCCATGGGGTCAAAGTTGTATTTAATAGTGTTTTGTATTCCTTATAAATTTACAGCAGTATCTGATGTGTATTTGTAGTGCTGTATGTAAACTTCATATGGATGGCCTTCAGAAACCTGGAAACCTGAGGATGTTAAATCACGCTGATGGACGTTTTATCTCTAAAGTAAAGTCCAGTGCCTAAGATATGAAGTATGCTCTGCAAGTATAATGGCTCAGAACTTCTCTTATTTGTAAAATGGAAAAACCCCAAAAAATTCCCATTGGTGACCAATTGGTGTGATTAAAAATTATAACCGTAATTACCAGCAACTCACTTTGTTTTCAGTGAGCATGTCATGCTTCTCTTGTGGATGTCAATTTAGCATGTTCAGCTGTTGCTTTTGAATAGATTGTAACATGCATAAGCATTCTTTTACCTGAAGTGGAGCGATTTATTAAAATTACTGCCCTCGACAGCTCTGCTAGTACTGACTGTGTTACATTTTGTAAGGTTTGCTATATTACTTGTAATGAGACAAAGACAGTATTTTGAGCTACAGTTTTTGAGGAACACTTTTCTAGTTTAGGACCCTGTTCTATAGTAAATAAATGAATGGTGATTTTTTTTCTTCTTCCTCAGATTGCCAGCAAAATTTATGTATGAAGTAGACAGTGTTGCTACAGCCTGTGTTATATGTAGCTCACAAAGAACGACTGTGGGGATGGTTATGTAAATACTGTTGCATGCTCTGCTCGTTTGGTCCACAGTTGTATGAAATACTATGAATCTTTTTTTCAAAAGGAAAACGTTTCCCCAGAAATCATATAACTGGGAAAATTTACAGTGACTTCTTCACCAAATGCTATTTTCCAAATTTCTGTACCCTACTTCATCTTATTGTACACCAGGATTATTTCATGCAGCTTAGAAAGCTGAATCTCTCTTAATTCTTACTGTTTAAGCCACGGCAAAAAGTCCTGAATCATTAATGTTACTGTGATGTGCTTGGAGCATCTAGAAGGGCAGATGGGATTGCTGAAGAATTATTAATGCGTTGGTTACGTGCACTTTAATGTTCACTTATGATGATTCTTGGAGAAAGAAAGCATCCATTTGCTTTAAATGATCACAGCATATAAGTATTTTTATTGTAACATATAAATGTTTTATTCCTATATTAATTGTCTCTTGTATTGCAGGGTGGTAACTACTTTCCAAATGCCAAATCAGTTTCTGCTGAGTGATGCTTTTCTACAATTGTATGACATTATTAATCAAATGTACATAAACTATCAATTGACATGTTGGCTTTTAACAATATGAACTGTATGTATACAGTTGTTTGATAAACTTTTTGTAATAAAATATTTGTATTTTTTAACTTAGTATATAAATAAATGATCCGTGGTAGTGGACATCTTTTATGTTGTTTTGCTCTCTGGTTTTCCAGTCTTGTTGGAATTACTTGTGTACCAAATGCTAAAGGGAAATCTATTTAAGTTTTCAGAAGGCCTAGATGTTTTTAAAGACCTTTGACTTGCACTTTTTTCTTTTGAATTTTGAGAGTTTGTATGTATAAATTTTGTTTGCTTGTTTTTACACTTTTTTTCTTTAATATTTTATGGAAGCACTCTTCTGCACTGTTTATAAATCAAATGTAAGCACTGTTAAGAACCTCTTAGCTATTGATGTGCTTGAAATCATTTGTATTTAGGGCATGCTTGGCGCCCTAAACTCTTTCCATGGTTCATTCCTTTCCTCTTCCCTCTCCTGTATTCTGCACCTCTCTAGCTGCAACTGATTGTTTCTAAAGCTGTTTTTAATCTGATCTCCTTGGGTGCAGAACTTTGCTTTGTGTCAGTCTAAACCGCAGGGCTGTACTTGGTGAGTATGGCGGCTTTATTCAGAATAAACATCATTCATGTCAACATGGTGGGTAATAAGCATAGCCATATGGTTAGTGATCAAATATCTGACATCTACCTGTTCCATTACTAGAAGTCCAAGAAACTGAGCTATGCCTTTCCTTTCTACATGTCATCACTTCAGTGTATGTGATTGGAAAGGTAGGAGGTTTGTCTCTTTATAATTGGTTAATTGTTTCATACCTAGGCAAATCATATTTGGTACATGCTATGTATCTTTTTAATATTTGAACAGTTAATATTTGCTTGCTGCATCATAAAATGTAAGAGGTGTCTTCAACAGATTTTAGTCCTTTGAAATACAGAGGTTGTTAGCCTGTTGTCCATCTGTTTTATCTTTTACACTGCTACAGTAAAGCTTGTCAAGCCTCGGTGGCACTGTTTTAACCTACAAATAGGATTAAGATCTGTAAAGTGCTGAAAGGAAAAAAAATGTTGGGCATACTGTTTATAGAGATACAGTATGTGAAAATGGAAGTACATTAAGAGTAACAGGCATTGAGTGACTTTCTGTACTTTCTGTACATGTATAGAAAAGGCTTCTATATCAATAGCTATGTTTCAGAGGAGATGCAGTTTGTTTTTTGCCAATCACACAGAGCAAGCTGATCTGTTCATCTTTCCCATAATGAAGTATCTGGTATATTTAGTTGAAATTCAATTGATTTAACCTGACAATGCTTAATGCGTAAGTATCATGTGGAATTTACCTTAGGAATCTTGTAACAAGCAGCTCTTAAACTTTCCAGATACACTTGGATTTTGGCACTTTGTTGCACTGTGTTTGTTTTTAAAACTGTAAGATTTGGCTATTTATAGTCCATGGAAGATCTTGTTTTATATTTGTAAGCCAAGGCCTACATAACTAGCTCACCAACCCCATCAAGTGGCAAGTGATGATTAAGTACTAAAATTTTCACTCGTTTTAAGAATTCTGCTGTCTTACACAAACAGGTTCAATTTGTTCTGGGTGGGATTGTTTGTTTGGTGTTGTGTTTTGTGTTTGGTTTTTTTTTTTCTTTGAAATAGAAAGAAAAAAATAGGTTTTGGCTTTTACCGAAAGAGAGAAGTACTAATACTGCTCCCAGTCTCCTGGGGAAATTCTTCGTTATTACTGTGGGAAGAGCTGCTTTTTTTTGCCCTTTTTTTTAAGGGCAAGGGGAAGAGGTAGGGATAAAACGTGTTCAATAGACTTTTCATTTAAATAGCTAAAATCTTCAGTGCTTTTATCTGTATCAGGTTTGTTGGAGCCTTTCACTGTTCCTCGTGGTAGCTAAATGGGTCACGCCGCCTTCTGTTTCTGCGTGTGACAGCCCTGTCCAAACACCCTTTTACAAGTGGCCAAGTAAGCTCTGGTCTAAGGGCACTTAATTGTTCCTAAGGAAGTTTTTTACAAGGCCCTTCTCGTTCGAGGGCATGGTTACCATTGGAATTGAGACCAAGTAGCCAATATTTTACCTCAGATACCTAGGGTACCTCAAGAGGTCTGACAGTCAGGATGCTCTGGGTGATGTGTACTTCCAGGTAGCACAGTAACTGCCCGATGTCTGGAAATACTTCAGTGTTCTACAGCATATGTGTAGGTCAGCAGTGTGGTACATCTGCAGTAAATCAGCATGGGATTTACAATCTACAATTTAATCAAAAGCACAGCATGTATTCAGTAAGCCTGCTATTTGCTGGAAATGGCAGCCTAACTGTACTTGCATGGCATTGTGTATGATTTTATTTATTTTTTCCATACAGGTGCTATATATCTGTATGGAAAATCTGGTCTTGATGGAACAGATGTGACTTCCAACATTTAAGATTAATTCCTGCTTTTTTCTGGAACTGCCAGACAGGAAAGCCAAAAAGTGAACTGATTCCTGTTTCAGTGTGCTGGATCCTGTAGACCTTGTTTCTAGAAATCTAACTTTCCTAGACATTGTATGAAGAGTTTGAATGCTGAAAGTGAGCTGAGAGATTCACTAGCAGGCAGAGGACCCAAAGTTAGCTGCGATTCTGAATGTAATGTTGAAGAAATTCTGGCTCCAGAATAAAGACTGGAGGGGTAAATGAAATAAATGAAGTAACGAAGTGTATCTCAAACAGTAGCATTTTAAAAAAATGGTAAGTTGAGTAACTTAGCCCTAGTTACCCTAGGCATTGACAGAGGCAACTCCTGATAGAAAAAATGCTGTATGATTTTGTAAGTAAGGATTATTTCACATGGCAATGGGTTAAAAAAAGGTTTTGTAGGCAAACTTTGTATTTGGCATTTCCAAGCTTTAAAAGTGTCAATATTACTCTTCCAGTATAGTTTGTGTGTATGAAATAATATAAATTTATAGGACTCAGGTCACTTAGTAAGGCAGTAATCTCCAAATTCTCCTAAACGAGGTTTTTTAAAGATCTGGGTTATGTTTTTGAAGTTAGTAATTTCTTTGAACAATAGGAAAATACAGGAAGCACCTGGTGTTTAAGAGGTGGTTAGCAGCAGTGGAACTTGTAATTTATTTTTTTAGCGTGTCAGTTCAATAGGAAAATCTTCAGACATCACCACTATCTCCATGAACAGAAGCAAGCTGGAATAGGGCAACATAAATGAAAATAAGCTGTATTATTTCTTTGAACAGAGCAACGTTAGTGGATCCTCTTCCTTTTCCTATCAGCAAAATAAATTGGAATCGGTTGGCACAAGTAGGAATATTCAATCTGCCTTCCCTCTATGGACATGGGGTGTGTGATGGGGGAACCCTTCCTTGCTCCTGTGCTCTGGAGCCCCATGTTGCTGGAAGCCTGCAGGTGGCACTAAATTTATGCTGAATTTTTTGTCTAGATCCTGTTAGGTTTTTTTAGTCGGTTTCTTTTGGTTGTAGCAGTGCTACAACAGGTTTTAATCCTAATGCATACTAATTAAGGGATATTTGGAAAGAACAGATAGTACCTGGAGTTGTAAAGAAGGATTATCTTTTGCTACTGTATCGTGAAAGAAAATTACTATGTAAAGGCTTAGGAAGGAACAGAAATGGATTAGATGCTTTCTAGTTGCTATAGAAACAGTGTAATTAAACAAAATGAAATATGTTACAACTCTTACACCAATGAGAGTACTTAGGAAGGGTTGGACAGTAAATGACTGTTTGATGTTGCAATATAAAACTGAGAAATAAACAGGGCATTTTTTGTGCTTCGTTAACTAAAACCAAAAATGTTTTGTTTCCTAAGGTGAGTCTACAAAAAGGAATGTTGATAATAATAATAAACAATAAGTAATGCAGTGACGATTTGCATCAATACTGTTGCAAATTAATAACAATAATATTATGTGATACTAATGATGCGATGAAATGAATACAAATCTTAAGTACATGCTTTTTGGGGGAAAAAACCAAACATGAGTATGAACAGTTTAATTACACTTGCTTTAAAATAACTTTTAACAGGTCACTTGAATGTTTCTTATTCTCTAAAAGTATGTTAACAGTTTCATACCCTTGCTGTATAGCTAATAAAGACAATTTCGTAACAAAACCTGTGTCAAATAGAACTTTCCTTTAAGCGCCGCGGGCGTAGGATGCGTTTGAGACGCGCTAGCAGTTAGTGCCCGCTGCCAGCAGGGGGCACTTCGAGGTTTCTCATGAAATGCTGTTTACTATTTAACTCGAGTTCTCAGAATTCTCTTTTTCTTTCTTGTATGATAAAACTTCACTGTTTAAAGTTCAGAAATGCGGCAGTGGTTGTTACTTCTCCTTGTTAGCTTAACTCTGAAGGTGGCAACATTCTACTATTTGTAAACTGAGGCGGCACGTTTCCGTGGAAGGATCTCCCGTTTAGCACACGTCTCAGTATGTGGCCATCGGAGGTGGATGGAAGTTGGTTGGCTTTGTATTTTACACCAAATCACTTCCACTCGACGCTTACTCAAATTCCTCTAACTTAGAGGAGTTACCCCCCCCCCAAAAAAAAAAAAAAAAAAAAGAAAAAAAAAAGAAAAAAATTACATATGTAGACAGAATTATGGTATATGATTCTTTATTGGTCAGAGTGAAGGAAAGGAAGGAATATTAAACGAAATCCTGCACTCAGTTCAATATATGATTTCAAGTTCATGTGATTTTGACAAAACATGGGTAAAACAGCAGAACCTACCCTATGCAGACAATGTTTACCTTGTAAGTACTTTATGTGGTATATCCGTACTTGCTTCCAGGCTTCTATGTGGAATGAATCTGTTTTATCCTTTCTTACAATCCTGATGAGCTCATTGCCTGCCTTGATTTAACACTCCTGTTCCCAGGGCTCTGCACCCCCAGGTGGAACCAAACAGTAGGAAATGTTGAAAGGGGACACAGAGACCCAGCTCTGCTGCAGAGGCAAAGTGTGTCCAGTATACCTGCTCGCTCAAGACCAAAAGGGAAACAGAGGCGGGAAAAAGGAGGGAGAAAAATACTGAATTCTTGGAATTTTCTGGGATTGGAATTAATTTCAGATCTGCCTGCCTCTTA